ATAGTATCTTTGACTTGTCAGCAGCTGAAAGATTTCCTATTTTGAATTACTTATATTGCATCTGTCTTCAATTAATGTAGCTACTTAATTCTTCAAATATTTGGGTAGCTATTATCTGCCAGGCATTATTCTAGATCTTGGGAAAAGTTGAAGAAATTTGTGTTACTTTCCTGAGACAGGTAGTCAAATCTTGATCAAATCACATCACTCTGCCTCCTGGAAACTTTCAATGGCTTTCTATTGCATTCAGCATTTGTCCTTGGCAACTTGGCCCTTACACTTCACTATCTCCCTTCTTCTACCAAAATGTCAGCTCCATGAGAAAAGAGAAACTTGTCTGTTTTCTTCACTAATATACTCCCAAAATCTAGAATAATTCCTGGTACATAACAGATATCTAAATATTTTAAAAATGAATTAATTCTATACTAATTGAAGACAAACCCAGGTTATATAACCCAAAATAGGAAATCCTTCAACCATCTAGAAGTCAAAGATACACTCAACTTCCTAATTCCATTCTGTCTCAATCCTATCAGTAACCAGCTTCAGAGGTGGTATATATAGGTGCCGGTTCATTCATGGAAAACAACTTGCTCGTGTACATACACATACTCATAATCCTAGAATCACTTTCATTTTAACTTAAAAGAGACTGAATTCACAGTATTTTTAGATTAACATCTGAAACCTCAAGGATACCCCAATCAGTTTCTGGTTGTGTATCCCCTACCCAAACTCACAAAACTTTCCTGGTACTCCTTTAGCATTTTATAAACTTTTTAAAGAGTGGCCCTTCTTACAGACTGTTATAAGGCAAAAATCACATACTAAGCTAGATTGAATTCCTTGGAAAAATAATCACACAACTATAAAGGTTACTTAAGTGACAATTTTAAGTGATAAGTTCCCTGGCATTTGCAGTTTCATTGTTTGTTTCTGTAACAGCTCTGAATTTATCTTCTGGAAATACCTCCTCTCCGCCTCAGAGAGAGAACACTACTCTGGCTCTTCTTCTTGGGAATCTTTTCCACACCATCTCCCCTTCCCATGCCTTATATATGACATTACCCCAAAGTTTATATTTCAGCACTCTACTCTCTCTGAGCCAGTGATGCTCAACATGTGGCCAACCACCACAAACTACATCAGAATTACCGGGGATGCTCATAGACCAACAAAGACTCCTGGGCCATGCCAGCCCTAACAAATCCCAGAATGCATGGGGTAGCAGTCAAAGGCCTGAATGTTTCCCAAAAACCACTAGTGCTGATACACTCTGTAGCTGGAAACCCACTGCCCAGAAATTTTCTTAAGTTTGCAGCTTTATCCCATCCCAGCCTCCAGAAAAAACTGAGGTCTGACAGCACAGCAACCAAGAACACTAGGTGAAACAAAGGCCTGGTTACAACTCTGGCTCTATCAGTTCTAGCTGTGAGATTATGGTCTGTAGTGAAACTTAACTGAAACAATGTGTGCACAAGCCTTGGCAGAATGCTTGGCCTAAGTGGGTATTTAATAAACAATGGCTATTATTAGTACTGTCCCTTTCCATCAACCTGCCTCAAACTCATTATGCATCCTCACTTCCCACCTTCCTCAAACTGCCTTGCCTTTCAAGATTCCCTTCCTAGTTCTGTCGAAATGACCGTTTCACACGTTTTCCAGGCTTCAGCCTGCTCAACTTTTCCATTGATCAACAAGCTATTTTGTTATTCATGCTTATCTGCCCAACATCTCAATCCCAATCTCCCTCATCATTCCACACCCTCCTCCAACTAACAAATTATTTGTAAAGTCTTTCTTGACTATCCCAGCTTAAAGGAAACTTTAAGTTCATATGCTCATAGACCCATATCACCTGTAAAAATTCATTAGCAATTAATAAAAAACCGGCCTGTGACATCTCTTACAACGGTCTTAAACTGTGAATTTTCCCCCTGATATTTAACCATTTACTTGTTTATATCTAGTGTCCCCAATGACAGTATAAGTTGCTGACACGGGTAGAGCCTATTTGATACTTTCCATCTATATGCTCAGCACCTTACTTCTTAAGATACAGTCAGCATACAAATGATTATACAGCAATTCTACCTGAGAGCTTAATGTTACAGCATTTGAGTAGAAGCATGTTAAGTAATTTGACCTGAAGGTCAAAATCTCTTCTTGGCTGCTAAGGACAATCTTGTCTGAGGTTTGAAGGAATTCTGTCATTCAATAAATTGCTTAGGAAACCAGAGGGAGATGTAAATGGTGGTCAGATAAGCCATAATCAGATAACCCATTGTAAAAAGAAAAACAGATGCTGCAACCAGCCATAAGCACTAAAATGACTGCCTCAGATAAACAGCTTGTAAACCAGAATGTGACTTAAGCTACAGAAGTGGCAATTTATAGACTCTAAGTTGTATTACTAAAATCCAGGTACTCCCTATTCTCATTTTAATACCACAGCCAGGCTTTTCAAAATAAGCCCAAGTCAATTCAGAGGTTTTCTTGGAATAATTTCCTTTATAGTAGAATCCTATATTTAGACCATATGAAAGATACTGAGAAACCACACAAAGAATTCAAAAAGGCAGGTCCCAACTTATAAAACCAGAACTCTAGATCTAACACTCAGCCCAATTAATAATTTTTCTCTCATGGTATAGCTAGAAATAAAATGATTTCATGAATAGTTTCAAAAGATTGTCATGCTGTGTACCCTACCATTTTGCATGATATGCTTTCATATACAAATAAATGTTCTATTCACAAACTTTTCTTCTTGTTCTTGAGATGAAACCCGAGATCTTAGAAAGATACCAAACATGTAGAAACATGCAGAGTGTCACATAATCTTCCTTAAATCATTACAGTGATTTAAAATACTTGCTTACTAGTTGGAAAAACTACTTAATGGGCTTTCAGTGTGGACTTGCCAGAGAAAGAAAATACATTGGAAATTGACATTTCCAACAGGTATAAAACGTCTGAAGAAATGCAGGTGAGGGGCGCCTGGGTGGCTCAGTGGGTTAAAGCCTCTGCCTTCAGCTCGGGTCATGATCCCAGAGTCCTGGGATCGAGCCCCATATCGGGCTCTCTGCTCGGCGGGGAGCCTGCTTCCCCCTCTCTCTCTGCCTGTCTCTCTGCCTACTTGTGATCTCTGTCTGTCAAATAAATAAATAAAATCTTTAAAAAAAAAAAAAAAGAAATGCAGGTGAGATCATCCAGCAGTTTTAGATGACAGCCAACTCATAAGCAGGTTTTAAAAACTTGTGAATCACACAATGACAAATTGAAAGGCAAAAACACACAACTGCACTTCACCTTTCCCCTTTCGAAAGAGATGAAAAACCAGAATTTTGTGAAAAAGAAACATTCAACATTTCAACCCTATTTAAAAGAAAGGAAACCTAGTTTTATCATACACTAAAAAAGCTGTGCTTATACCAAGTTGCCAAAGCCTCATACCAGATTAATTGGCGGGGTGGGGGGTGGGCGGTGGATTGGAAGGGCTCAGAAGGCTGGTAGGAATAGAGGCACAACAAAAATGGTAAGAGCAGAACAAAAACTAGATTTCTCGTTAACATTGCCGATTCACTTCCCAAAACTGTAGTTGCCTATTTCCATAATTCAATCTCTTTGCAAGCCAAAAAGAAAACTAACCATTTTGGCTAAACGATCATTCCCAGCATGATGGTACTTTTTTTTTTCTGGTGCTATATACTAACCCAGAGGTTTAGAATCAGTGTTTGTAATGGCAACATTTTACAGTAGTAAGTTCTTCTAGAACCATTAAATCACCACAGAGGGTGAAGGCTAGGGTTAATGGAAAATGTCCAAACTGTACAGGACACCAGGCTGTTAAGTCCCAAACCCATGACCAGGATTTTTACACTTTTGGCTCCCACGATACAAAATCTTTTTTCACACGTTAAATTAAAAAAAAATACACATATAAACACCAAGTACAACAGAAGTTCTGGCCCAGAATTTTACAAACACAACACTTTGGTAAGGAGAGGAAGCTAGAGATAGCAGCAGAGTGCCTCAAGACTTCCAATCAGAGAAACAATATCCCCACCAGTAAAAGCCCTCACCCTGTTAACCAAATGCATTTTTGATCTCTAAAAACCCTCTTACCTGTTTACAAGAGTTTATACAGCTGTTTGCCACTGGAACACCACCTTGCAGAGTATAACCGTGCCATCCTTTGTTGATAATCACCTGTTGCCTAAGCATCATCCCGCATGGAGACAGACAGCACTAGGGCTCTTCCATCCGAGGTTAAAATTCAAAACAAGCCCAACAAGCCTGCATTTCAAGGTGGTCTTCGTCTGCAACTAGGTAAGTTTAAAACTGGCAAACAACAGTGGTGTCTGAAGCCAATGGTGCAGCACTGCTGGCTTCCTCTTGAACTCCAGCGTTGTCACTGTGCACCGAAGTCTCCTGCTGCAAACAGGGGAGTTGTTCTCCTGTACTGGGAACAGCTTCCAAAGCTCAGGAGCCCCTGTACAGGATAACGCAGGAACTAAAGGCAAACACTTTCTCCTCCTTAGGGACGCCTCCATTTTTTCCTCACACTCTGTACTACCAACCGAAGTGACCGGGCCTGAGTGTGCGTTCGTACCTACGAAACCGTCACGGTGCATGCACATCCGAGGCATGTGGAACCACAGGTCAAATAAGGCACAGATACCACAGTAACGGTTCTAATTACACACGCTAGCTCTCAGGAACTCTTCATCCATTCAGAACTAAACCCATCACTGCATAACTCTGGTAAGAAGCCCCTGGAGACGGAGGAGCTCCTCAAATGTGTCAGGAAAGGCTTTATTAACATCATCATTAACATTTAAAAAGCAAACGGAGCATTTCTCCTTCTTTTGGCAATTTGGTGCAAATGTTAAGTGCAAGATAAAGCAATTTCAAACTTCTCTTCAAATTAAAAATGAAACTAAGGCCAAACGTGACGGGTGAACAAAATAAATCAAAACTTAAATTTCAGCAACTCCGGCTCTTCAAACCAGCAAAGCCCCCGACTCGTGCACTGTGGTGAGGCTTACGGTGCTTGCCCCGGCTTCTTGTGTGCCAGCAAACAGCACCATTTCCTCATCAAGTTGAGGACTGAGAGGCCAAAGATCCCCTTCGCTGCAAACAAAGGGGGTCACAGTAACACTAGTGATCCTTCAGAATTGACACACCGTGATAGTCAAAATGATGGTCTCCCTGCTTCTTGCTCAAGACATACAAGATCTGAGCAGCAGAAAGTACCCCCTCGGCTGCAAACAAAGGGGTCAAAGGTTTGCCGTCAATTCACTTCCAGGCAGAAAAACATTTTCCTCAAAAGAAACAATTTATTTAGAATAAAACAAAAGCAGCTCAACTGTGAGCGCACGTTTGAGTGACAGCTACTTTTAAGCTGTGTGAGCCATAAAAAGGGTTTTTCTTTACTTTTCCAGAAATCTTGTGTACACAGCACAAAGCAAGAGGTCATTTTTTTTCCACTTAAAACACCGGCATTGGCATCACAATAGCAGATACACAACTTTAAGCTGCCATTTTAGTAAAATGCACAAATACTAAACAGATTAGCTTTCTTCCATCAAGAGGCCCATGTAAACTCCACATAAGCCACAACTTCTCTTCAAAAAGGTCCATTAGAGCTTTGAATTCCATATCTTCAATCCGCAGTTCACCAGTTTTGCTTGCGGGGGGGGAAAAAAAGGTTATTCAGTACAAATGTTTACAATATTAAAAATATATATATTTCCCCTATGCCATTATAGATGAACATAACATTAACAAGACCTTCCTGGATAGTCCAGCTTGACTTCAAAAAGCACCAATAATACCCACTGGCACATACTTTGAATGAATTTACTGTATGAATAGACAAATAACAAGTAGAACAACAGGGTGGATTTTTTTAAGGACTGAAATTAAGCAAAGATCATAGGATTGAAAATACCCTTTATACTCATGTAACTGAGTAAAATATGTCAAAAAAATTCAGAAGGACGTTTATAATCAATTTATGATCAATATATCCTAAATATAACTTAAAAAATTAAACTAAAAAAAGGTGGAGTTTAGTCAAACTTTTACCCCTCTGTTTTCATTCCATAATTTACATGGAACAATCCAGAACTACTCCATTGTAAAAAGGGGTCAAGATACAAAGCCACTTAAAAATCCACCTTCATCTGTGTTACCAAAGACAGCAGCTGTTCTTTTAAGAAAACTCATACGAATAATTGCTAAACAGCCAAAGAACATTTTAGGACTTTTACTTTTCAACTATTTAAATCAAACATAGAAACCTTTTTTATTTAGTCAGACAGTTCACTGTGGTTACCTGAAATCATTTTCTCCCTTTAACCAGCACGTTAACAGGGTCAGCTCCACTTCTCTTGCTCTCATACCTAACTGCCATCTCAAAACCAAACGCCATAGCAGAGACAGAAAAAAAGAAGTCCCGAAATTCTCTCCAAAACTTTTCACATAAAAGGTTATTAAGGCCCTCTTCTCAAAAGGATTTCCTGATTCTGTTACCAGAGTTTTTGGTGAACGGTTCCTATATGAACCCAAACTGCAGTTCAAGCTATACCTGCATAACGAGCAATTTCATGGTCTAAAGAACGTGGATTTCAAATTGTAAAAAAAAAAACAAAACAAATACTGTCAGTGAAAATCTGCTCATAAAATTTTTAAATAAACCAAAACAGTGTTTGACTCTGAAAGCAACACTTACACACCTCACTTTTCCTACTGTATCTCAAATGATCTAACTGAATTAAGGGCCAGAGTATGTTACCTTCAAAATGTGACAAAAGCTTATGCCAGCCAGAGGATGGACATTTTAAGATGTAATCCTTAAAGGGAAAACTCAATCTACAGAGTCCAAGTATACATGTTAAACCAGGAATTTAAATTTTTGTGTAGAAAACGCTTTATAGGAATCCCAGTTAAAACCAACAAAATAATCTTTAAAAGACTGGCTAGGAGCTGAATGATTGTTTAATTTTCCATAAACTTTGAAGTTGTGATCTAAGTCTTAATTAGTTTGATGTTCTTCACCAGTAATACTTAATAAGTCATTAAATGATATACTGCAATTTTCTTTGCATTCATTTCAACAGAGTTCCAGAAAAATCAATTTAGCTAAACAAGTTTTGTTTTTTGTTTTTTTTTTTAAGTAAAAGAAACAAGTGGTTGTTGCAAAGAACATCCAATAATGAGATTATGAAATTCTGGCTAATGAGAATTAGAACCAGATAGCTTTAGACTCTCGCTTTCATTCCATCCTGAAGGCTTAAATAGTTTAACAGTATTATGAACCGGCACAACAGAATGGGCAACACAAATAAGAAATCCACCTGAATGATGGCACTCTGTAGGTAAGCACCAAACTAAACATAATTAGTTATTTCTAATACATACATTTAGAAATGGTATCAAGCCATTGTTTCAAAAACACAGAAGCACAAATTGCCCAGATCTAACAAAAGCCGCCATGTCAGATAAAGATTCAAATAAACAAACATGGAGCAAAAACCACAGTACTCTTCGGTAAGTTGTCACATCAACTTAAAAAAGAAAAAAAAAGAGAGATAAAAAGGAAAGTGGGAAAAACCACATTTTGGATTAGAGTAAAATTAAATGTTATGAACTTCACTCTCTAAAAGAGCAAAATCATCTGTCCAGCCTTCTTATCAAAAGATATTCAAAAGTTAATGGTTAGTGAGATTATTTAAACTGGAAAAATGTATCTAGCCAAACTGTACTTTGACCCCATGTATGCACAGACTGCAAACTTGCGTTAGTTTCTGAAGTGTCTCCTCCATATTAGTGTGCTAAGCACAGCTTTTTAAAAACAAAAAGCAGCAAGTCTTATTTGTAGGATTTCAGATATTTTTCCTACAGGGACACCAAGGACCTTTGTGCTCATTGCCTAGTACCTTCCTTCTGTCAAAATAGCTAATTTTTCCAGTTTAAAAACAAAACAAACAAAAAAACCCCACAAAGACCTCCCAACTTAAAAAGAAATTTATAAATGCATAGTGAAAACCAAAAGGATGACACAGCAGTGATGAGGATTTCATGCTGACATGCATTAGACACCTGTCATAACGGAAAATAAAAAAATTACATGACATTTCCCTGGGTTATTATTGGTGCTATTTCAAAACTACCAGCTTTGATAACAGAAAGAAAACAGTTGAGTTCTGCCAGGCTTTCTATAAGTCATTTTCACAGAATAGAAACATGACCATGATCCAAAAGGTCCTAGAGTTTCTAATCATAATTAAATATCAAGGGCCTTAGCTAAAGTCCTCAGCATATATATATATCAAGGCGGGGGAAATATACTTACTAATGACCTGAGAAACTAGGGGTGAGGACAAGGGGACAGATCAAAGAAACAAGACAAAAAAGAAAATCATCCATTACTGTTATGCAGCAAAAGCCCTTGTTAAGAACCAGAAATTGATATAACCTTCAGCTTTGAAAAAAACTGTGAGGGTGGGTTAAATTATTCTGTATTAATTTCAGGTGTTTGGGAAATAAAACAATAAAAAGTGGTTTTCCTACACTGACATTTCAGTTCTCTGTGGCTGGACACCCATGAAAATATTAAACACAAAATTTCAAAGATATTCAACATTTTCAATAATGTAATGTCATCGCTACTGTTTATATATGAAAATAAAAATACAGGCAAAATTTAAAAAGAGCATGTCAAAGGCATTTCACGATGACTTTAAAAATTTCTGCAATCCAGATATGGCTGATTAATGCCCACTAAAACAAAAGCTGACTTATGAGCCTGCAGACAACTCTTCTTTCTATTATTGAAATCAGAAATTTGCATGGATACAAAAACATTCATCTTTGATGAAAAACACTTAAAAGTTTTGAAATATGCACAATTAAATTAGACCTGTACCTGCTATACCTCTCTGAAAGTCAGTAAAAACACCACCACACACCAATAACTAACCAAAGAATTCTGATTTTAAAAACACCTACTCACTTCTTGCATACTAGCATAAGACATAGATGGTTTGTAACCTACTCCTCAATTTTTTCTGAACAGTTACAGCTACAAACCAAAAGTGCATATACGGGATACAGAACTTAAGAACTAATGATAAAAATGTGTATGTTAAAGCAAACTCCGGGAATAAACCATGTACTTTAAGAGAAATACTCAAATACCTGATTAAAATAATTACATTGCTATACAGTTTACCAGCTTGTACTTTTAAGATTCCTGATCAAATTTCAGCCACACAAATAACATTTCTGGTACAGAAATTATTTACTTACATACCAATCAACCCACTTTTAGGTGTAATATCATCTTTAAAAGTCAGTGGGCTCTTCTCCAAATCCCGACTTTTCAAGAAAATTTTGGGTTTGTAACTCTGAGGATTTTTTTTTTTTTAAGCTCAAGGTTACAAAAGGGAAAAAAAAAACTGAAGAAAAAAGAGGAAAAAAGTTACTCATAAAAGAGTAGGAACTCCTAATTAAAATAAATTCATCTGCCTGCTACCTTCAGGGCATCCCTTTCACTTAAAATAATAGCTAAACTGTCCTGACTTCTATTTTAAAGGTTTATAAAAATATAAAAAAGAAAAAAGCTACAACTAAAACTAATTCAAAAGGAAATTTCATCTGATGCTGTATCCCATTACACATCACAAAACAGGAACCATGTCAAAGTAGTAAATACAAGTTACACATGGACTTTAGGACGCACCACGGACAATGATCATGACCAGGTAATCTTCTTCAGATTTGGCCAGTGCCTTGGCAGGGGAATCCAGGAACTGCTGGGAGAACTCACAGGGTGGGAAAGCATGTAGGACCCCGGTGTTTTCCTTGTCTTTGTTGCCCCCCACAGGGAGGCTTATCACCCCAGCGGCCTGCTTTTGCTTTAAATAGGACACAAGGTTCCTAAGTGGCCTCTGAGTAGAGGTGGCAGTGTCTGATGTGGCTGAGGAAGAGGAGGACCTGCTGTCAGAATTTCCAGGCACAGCCAGAAGAATGGCATAACCATTGGGCCCTGCCACTTTGATGCGTCGAGTTACTTCATCCAACTTGGGCTGGTCCAAACGAAGACGCTGAGTGATCTTGAGCTGGGCTACTTTGCCTCCCGTTGCGCCCTCCACAAGAAGACTACTAGCCACTTGGAGGTCACCCTGCAACAGATGCATGTTGGAAGGAAAGTTGCTGTTCTTCAACAGAAGCATGCCCTGCCAGGCCAAACAGAGTTTGGGAGAGGCTGCAGCTGTCGGGGCTGTCCCACCATCCTGTTTCTGGGAGGGGGACTTTAGCTTTGAGGAAACAGTGCTGGTGCTGGGTGCACTCCCATCAGACCGGTCTTCTTTTTTCAGAGGGCTTTTTCCCTCAGTGGGAGCCGCTGTCCGGTGCTTCCTATCCCGTTCAGCTGATGCAGAGTTTTTACGGTCTCGCTTGTCACCCTGGCTCTTCTCCAAACTACCTCGTCTGTCTCTGACTGGAGAGGGCCTTTCCAAGATAAGAAGACGGGAAGATCGATCATTGTCACTGTTGTAGCGATCCCGGCTACTGCTCAATTCTGGGCTGCGGTCGGGAGAAAGAGCACAGTGACGTTTTCGGGGACGGTCACTCTCAGGAGACCTATCCAGGTGCCGGCCCCCACTCTCCTCAGGCGGCCTTCGCTTCCTAGGCTGGTCTCTGCTGCTGGGAAGATCTCGCTCACCTCTGTCCCGGTCCAAAGACCAGCCATCTCGCCTGCGATCCAAGCTATCCAGTGGCTCATAAGCAGGCACAGCAGTAGCTGCAGTCCGAGTGCTGCGTTCACGGACTGGGGGTGGGGGTGGCACCCAGTCAGAGTCAGGATAAAGGTCTCTGTCACGATCTCTGTATAGTAAGGGTGGTGTCCTATCCCGAGCACCCCTCAAAGGGTCAGGTGCTCGATGTCCAAAAGCATCTGTCACCAATTCATAATGAGTTAAGGGTAGAGGCTGCAAATATTGCTGCTGGTAACGATGTTCTGTATCTGCAAAGTCTACTCTAAGGCGACGATCTGGGCCACCAAGTGGGAAGCCACGCATATGGGTCCAGGCAGCATGAGCTGCATCGAGGCTTTCATATTGGATATATGCCCAACTATCGCCTTTGCGGTAGTCTATAGTGCGAATGGTGCCAAATCGGTCAAACTCTCGTGCCAGGGCAGCAAGAGGCACCCAAGGTCCCAGACCACCTACCCACAGGCGGGTGGTGGGTGTAGCTTTACCGTAACCAATTTTGATAGGATTCCGAATAATAATTTTGCCAGACATTGCCAGTTTGGCCCGGTGAGACATGTCTAGGTTCTCAAATTTGAGAAAGCCATAGGTACTGGTCTGGCCCCGAGAAGGCCTCTTGATGTCTACCTCAGTGATGACTCCAAAGCGGTCAAAAGCCCTTCTTAGATCACTCTCTGTCACAGTGATGTCTAGGTTGCCCAAGAAAAGCGTCCGGTTAGCTCGCTGATCATCCTCGGGAGAGATCTCATCTACTTCTCGGAAAGGAGCAGCACCTGCTCCAGCTCCCACCCTTGGCTCAAGACTGTATGCTGGGCGCACTCTCTCATAGAATGGGTAGTCTCGCTCTCTCTCCAGCTCACGGGGCAATGGTGGCGGAGGTGGTGGGGGCAGGCGGCCAAGAGCCAACTGCTGCAACCGGTAGTCTCTGTATCCCAAGGCTGCGCCACCAGGGGAAAGTGATCTCTGGCCCCCACCTCCTCCAGGGGGGTGCCGGTGTCCACCTACCGAGGCCCCGACCACGCTGGCTGAAGGAGGATAAGTATCTTTGTCTAAAGGCGAGCGGCTGCGGCGCCGGCTCACATACACAGCTTCTATCTTCAGGGGCCGGTCATAGAGCACTAGGCGGCCTCGGGCATGCTTGGCCGCCCGCGCGTCCTCTGGCCGCCGGAAGTTCACAAAGGCTACTCGCTCATCCCCGCTGCCAGAACCCGAGAGATGACTGATTTTGACACTTACATCACCGAAGCGTTTGAACTCGTGAAACAGTCCGTCCTCCACCGCTTCGTCACTCAGCTGGGACCCCAACTCGCTGATCTTCAGTGTCTTGTATTCCCCGCCGTCCCCGCCGCCAGGAGCTGAGGAGGCGGCCCCAGAGGAACGTGACTCCCCGCCTCCACCCCGGGAGCTGCTGCGCGACTCGCCCCCGCCCGAGGAATTTTTGGTGCTTGGGGAGCTGTAACTATGCAAGCGGCTACTGGAGCTGCCCCCGCCAGTGTCATACTCGCGGCTGCCACCTCGGCTGCTGGACTTGTCCAGATGAAGGCTGCGCCGCGACCCGCCGCCGCTGTCGGTCTTTCCGCTGCTACTCCCATTGCTGCCACCAGAGCCCCCTAACTTCTTGCTCCGCTCCCCGCGGGAAGTCGAGTCCTCACCTCCACGGGACCGTTTGGCCTTGACTGGAGAGCGCTCTTTTCCCTTCATTGTTGCGGGTCGTTGGAGGTCGTCTCCGCGGAGATGATTAACCCGCCGGCCCGCGCTCGTTTCACACAGCGGAACCGCACGCCGCCATCTTGGACTCCGCCGCGGCAAAGGATCCCGCCCCGCAGTCCTCATTGGTCAATTAGCTCCTCTCTTCTACAGTCTCATTGGGAAAACGATTTGTCTGTCTTTACATCTCCCCGCGCTCCGGAAAGGCGCCCGCCCAACCACTGTTATTGGGTTCCCAATGCCTTAGTCTGAGTACCTTATTGGTTATATTTGTTGTCCATCTTAACGGTTCCTCGCGCCAGGCCGTGGCTCCGCCCCCCGCACTCTAGGGTCACCTGACCCAAACTCTGGAGGCGTTGATTGGACAAAAAGTCTGCCCTATAACGGTACTTCTAGCGCGGTAAAAGCAGTGATCCCACCTCCTCATTCCTTTCATTGGTTTGGTACTCCGTCCTTTAACTCACTATTTGGGAAGTCGGGGCATCTGTTCTGGCGTTTTTTCTGAGAGCCCCGCTTACAGCGTTCTCGCGAGAGAGAAAGTTCTCCCTTTCTCGACCCCTTCTCCAACTCCTCGGGCGGCTGAAAGAAGTTTAAATCTGATTGGATGTTGACCAGGAAGTTGATAGGCTGAAATAACTGTCCGTCATTCGCTTAAAGGGGTAGGCTCGCATACTGGGGAGGCTGACTGAAGGTGAAAGAGTAGAACACGCGCTTGCTGTGCGACGTCACTAAGACGTCGCGAGATGGTGACCCAGCGTCAGCTCCGCCTCCTCGCGCTTTCTGTGTTCTCTTCTCAAGCATTAATCTGATCCCGCGCGGTGTTGGGTGTACCTTGGCTCCTGGAACTCGAAACTTCTGGTCACGCCTGCTTAGTTCTTGTCTGGGACAAGGGGCTGTCGGGGCGAATGCCTCAGGAAGGAACCTCAGCGGACACCATCTTAGTCCCTCCGGCCTCAGAACAGGCTGAAAAAGCTGGGGTCCCCGGGGGGCGGGCTGGCCGCGTGTTCCCAGTTCGCCAAGTGCCGGTCCCACTAACGCCTGGGGCTCTCGGGGACCAGCAGCCGGGAAGCAGCGGGGCCGAGCTGCCGCCTTCGCCCGGGGCCCGGCTCTCTGGCGTTCCCCGCTCCAGCCCAAGCACCCCGCGTAACCGGAGGGGGCGGCGGAGGAATGCCCGGCGCCCGGGCCCCGCCGCCGGCGCGCGTGTCTCTGCGTTCCCAGTTTCCTATTGCGAAGTCGCGTGCGTTTTGGATTTTGTACAAGATCCGGTGATCTAGGTCTCTTCGCTTCGTACCTGTAATGCCCCTCCCGGTTAAATGATAGTCACATGGACGCTCCGGGGGCAGACGTGTCGCGCGTTTTTTCTGCAGCTTCTCGTATCTCCCGGCATCCGGTTAGTGTAAGAAGCCAGTAGCGCAGCCACCTTGCCGACTCTCCGGAGGAACCTCTTTGCCTCCTTCAGGCATCAACCGCTCCAAAACCCAACTTGGGTTGAGGTACGGAAAGCAGGTGTGCCAGGTGCCCTTCGTCAGGTGAAGGGAGGAAGTGCTGAGTTCTTCACAGCGGTTAGTTAGGCTTGTTGCCGTCCTCCCAGAGGTTATGAGGATTCTTGTGTTGAAGGTTATGAGGGAGGTTATGAGGTTATGAGGGTTCTTGTGTTGATCCTCTCTTCTGCCACTTCTTTCAAGTCCAATACGTAGGAGAAAATGAGATTTTTATTTTTTTTTAAATAATTTTTTTTTTAATTTTTTATTTGACAGACAGAGATCACAAGCAGGCAGAGAGGCAGGCAGAGAGAGAGGAGGAAGCAGTCTCCCCGCCGAGCAGAGAGCCCGATGCGGGGCTCGATCCCAGGACCCTGAGATCATGACCCGAGCCGAAGGCAGCGGCTCAACCCACTGAGCCACCCAGGCGCCCCGAAAATGAGATTTTTAAACACTAACGTTTTTCAAGGTAATATGAATGTCGCCAAAACAAATCTAAACTTCAAAGCTGTGTTACGATTGGGACAGCAACATGTTTAGTCCTGCCGTAGCCATCCTTTTTCTAGAAATCTTGAGGAAGATGAATATGAATTTTATCTCTTGATTTGACAAAGAAGCTTGAAAGAAGCCTACTAGGTAAAAGCATAAAAATCTGCGTGATTGTAGTATGTAGACTGACTGACTTGCTGTATTAAGACTATTTTAAAACTTGCTACCGTTTGTGGTTTTAAAAAACAATATATATGCGTAGGTGCAAGTGTTTCTGTTAATATATTCATAGAAACTTCATTGAGAGTGCTTCAGTATGGTTACTAAGATCACCCTGAGAGGCGGGTAGAGGATCTGGGTGGGAGAGAGACTCAACTTCCACTGTATATCTTTCTGCATTATTAAAAGGAAACTTGTTTTACCATGTGCATACTATTAGTGTTCCATTTTTTAAAAATAGCAATTATTTTTAGCTTCCCTTAAATTTATAGGAAAAAAAATTACAGAACTAGAATACTATAAAGAACTCCCATGTACCCAACACCCAGTTTCAACAATTACCAATTCCTGTCAGTCTTGTTTCCTGTACACTCTCTTCCCACTCTTTCCCCTCTCTGTTATTTTGTTCCAGTCTTATCTGGTACATTTCCTGCCCCAGACATGAAAGCAGCCATTTCTCCAAGGATATCTGGTTCCTTTTAGGGAGAAATGATATTTAAAGATAAAAATATGGATGTTAGGAGGTAAGACAACAACCAATACAGTATTTGTAAAGGCACAAAACAAAAGGTTTTAGTTATTAGGGAATTTTAATCTGTTTCAAGGTTATATTAAACACAACACAAAATTGAAGTTAAGCCATTATCTGGTTACTTAATGTAACAGCCAATCCAAACAAACCAGAGTGACTATTTTTGGCCTAAACTGACCTGCGTAGGTAAGCAAATGACCAGAGAAAAAGTAATGACCAAATCAGCGTAGTTTCTCAAACATGACAGGGATTGAGAATGGTAGGAAAGAATTCAAGGAGCAGGTACTGGGCAGTGCCTAAGGCTCTGCAAAGCTTAGCAGTGTGGCTTAGCATTTGAAATACCAGGGAGCCTGATGGAAGCTACTGCAGAGAGCTGTAGGTGGCAGGAGAGCTTGCCTAAGGGGACTGGTGGCCTGTCTGCTGTTGAAAGGATTGGTAAATAGAATGGGTAGACAGAAGAGCACTGGCTTCTGTTTTTAGTGACAGCCAAAATAGAACCTTGATGTATGTGTATGTGTGTATGTCCACAACAGAATTGATAATGATTCAAATATGCCCATGCTGTAGTCACAGTGAGTGTTTTTATTTCCTTAGTGTTCTTTATTTTTTTTATATATTTTTTTAAATTTTATTTTTTATAAACATATAATATATTTTTATCCCCAGGCGTACAGGTCTGTGAATCGCCAGGTTTACACACTTCACAGCACTCCTTAGTGTTCTTTAAAGCATGAAGGTGCTTAGTGAGGTCGTATCAGCTTATGTTCACATACATGCTTTAGAGAGAGCAGAAAGAGGATCAAAGTGATCCAGGATTTAGAAGACCAGGACTTTAAACCTTTTTTCTGGCGTTGGTGATGGAATTGTTGAGGTCCAGTTCAAGGTTTCATCTGGGCTTGGAAATGCCTTGTCAAAAACCAAGACATAGAGTTGAGGAAAAGCTGACATAGCCCATTCTGGCGTCAAACTTGGTTCCCTGAAACTATAATTCAAAGACCTCGGAGGTCACAGCCCAGCAGGAAAGCAGCCACAACTAGCTTTCTATATGAAGTGCTTTTTTCCATATCCTTTAAAATCAGTTTTAAAAGGAAAAAGCAAAATGAAAGTTATGGAAGAAACTGTGTAATTAAAAGTTATCAGTATGCTTTCAATCAAATGTCTTCTTTCAACCCTCCTACATTTTATTGTTTCTGTATCCTCAGTACACAGACAATTATGATTGCAATATGAAATTTATCTTGGGAGCTGAAAGCTGGTTGATTTCCTGGCAGATGCAAAAAGGCCTGAAGCTGGGAATTGGAATTATTTTCCCACCCACAATAGTGGATTAAAATTTTCAATTTCATCTTCTTTCATAAAAGTGAGTGGTCTCTTGACAGGTTCATTTTGTTCGTCTGCAGAAAAAGCATGCATTTTACCCATAGGTATATATTAAATCCTAAAATAGCAAATAAACATTTAGGACCTAGCTTGCATTATTTTTTAAAAAGATTTTATTTATTTATTTGATAGAGATCACAAGTAGGGAGGCAGGCAGAGAGAGAGGAGGAAGCAGGTTCCCCGCTGAGCAGAGTGCCCGATGCAGGGCTTGATCCCAGGATCCTGAGACCATAACCAGTGCCAAAAGCAGAGGCTTTAACCCACTGAGCCACCCAGGTGCCCCTCTAGCTTGCATTATTAAATCACTTGCTTATTTTGGTCTGTAGCCTTTATTTTTAACAGCTTTATTAAGATATAATTTACATACCATAAATTTCACCCATTTAAAGTATAGAACTCCATGGTTTTTAGTATACTCACAGAGCTCTGTACGTGGTTCACCCTTTTAACATTGTTACAGAAAGCACTCTACTATAACTTCTCCTGCATAACTATGCCCTTATATGATTATCTCTTTCATATATTTAGACGTCTTATAGGGCAGTGGCGAAGAGCATGGACGCTGGAACCAGCCAGTGTGGACTAAATCCCAGCTCTGCCGTGGGCAGAAGAGTTACTGTTAATCTCTCTAGGCCTTCATTTTCTCATCCATAAAATGGGAATAATCCTAGGATCTTCACTGGGAGGACTAAATGGGTTAAAACACATAAAGATCTTAGAACAGTGCCAGGTACATGGTAAGCACTACAAATATGTTTGCTGTTACTAATATATTTTCTTTTTGAATTTGGGTACATAAAATTGGAGTAATCATAATCCTCAGTTCATGATACATAATCATCAGTGGCCCACCCAAAGAGATGAAAGAGCTTTTCATCTCCTTATCAACAACCTGTGAATACCCCTGAAACTACCACTCAATCCAAGAAATAGAATGTTGCTGGTAATTTACATCTACCTAAATACCTTATCCTTATTCCTTATCCACTGCCTACTCTCATAGGTAACTACTATCCTGAATCTGG